CTACTTTCTTGGGATCTTCAAACGGTATGAAACTCCTCCTGAAAAATTTCTTCGGAACTTCGGTAAGGATTCTGCTGCTGCAGTTCCCCCTGAATCTCGGACCGTCGATGAGGAATCTGCTGCAGTTCGCGCAGGAGAATCGGGTGTGATCGGCGATGAGGAATCTGGTGCAGTTCCCTGAAGAACTTCATGTGATATAATTACTAGTGCAAGTTATTTCTGTTCGCAAGTATGGTTATGTACGTTTCAGTAATTTGCATGTACGGTCCTTTCTTATTCAGACATCTTCTTTAAGCCCATGACATTTATTTATTATGTAAGGTATTTACTTTTCCCTAATATCTATTTTTTCTTTAAATATACTCGAATCATACTTAGTTTTTTAAATTAAGGATAAAACAACAAAAGATAAAGAAACGATTTTAGTTCCTTCGGATTTCCAACTGAAGCAAGTTGCTAACACAAAAAATATAAGCAATATTTAAAAATATTTTGGCTGGGTAATTAATTACAAATTTAGGGGAGCACTGAATGCATGCGTAAACATATCCTTTTGAATTCAGCAATTTCGGTCACTAACAAGGTCTCAGGATGACAAGGTTCCATATTTTGAATTCGATCATTGAATCGGGATATATAGTCCTTAACTGTTTTGTTATCCTTTTGCACGATATTAGTGATTGATTCTTTTGGGATAAGACAGACTTGGGCTCAAATGAAGTGTGATCGGAAAACTGCACGTAATTGTTGCCACTTCCACATTGAATGGGGTGGAAGAGTATAATACCATTTCTGCGCTCGTGGCCCCAGTGTGAGGGAAAACATCCGACATCTCAAAGCGTCTGAGGCGCCATGCAAATCCATCCATGACGTATAGTGACCCAAGTGTGCATCGGGATCCGAAGTTCCATCATACATGCCAATTTGTGGGATTTTTATCTTGGCAGGGAGTGCTTCTGCAGTAAGTTCGGGAGCCAAGGGTGAATCTGCTTCAATGATGACGTTACCCGACGTCGAGACATGTCGGGGAGAATCTTCTTGTGATTTCTGCCGAGTTTCGATTTCAGCCAATCTTTTGCGGAGAGCCTCTAATTCCTCCGCACTATGTCTTGACACACGATTTCATTCAATTTGATAACGTAAATCTTCATGATCACGAGGTCTTGGTGAGGGGGGTCTAGGACGTGAAAGAATTTTGTGATGGTGAGCGGAGTGACTCAGTCATTTCTTGAACATGAGGCTCATTCGCAGCCTGGTTATTTAATACTGGATTAACAGTTATACGAGTCATATCATCTCGATGTTGAGAAGTATGACGTGGTTGTGAAGTAGCATGTGATGCCGCCATATGTGTTTCTCGATTATGATGAGTAGGATTTGGCTGTTCTGTTGGATTTGTGGGGAAAGGGATAGATACTGGTATGGTGTTCGAGTTTCTGGGCATAACTCGAGCTATAAGAGAGGTCAAGCCTTGAACAAACTCTGGGTTTTGAAGAAAGTTCGTAATATTGGTAACCGGAGGTGGTGGTGTCGAACGCCCTGGGGAACGATTCGTAGCATGGCTTTGGCCTGCGTGGGAGGCGTGTTCTCGACCAAATTGCGACATGGGAAATTTGAGCGAATAATGGCTGCAACAGCGAAAGTTAACCTCAAAAACTTATGAGGCCCTCCTTCTAGCGCCAAACTGTTGTTATGTGGGAATCAACAACGATAATATAATGAAAGCTACGTTGAGTATTCAAGGGGAATTAATTTAGAAAATAAAAGCTGAAAACAAAGTGTATTGAATGTGATCGTTCATATATTCTGTCTCCCTTTTTTTTGGGAGCTTCTTCTTTTCCTTTTATATTTATTTACAATATTTATCAGAATTGCAATCATTACATTAGAAAAGTCAATGGCGGCCGATCGCCATTCGTTCTTGTAGCACGCCACTTGGCAAGGCGTAATGATGATTTGTGCTGAGTTGGCGCCACGTTATGATGTCGGTTTGGCAAGTCATAGATATCGGTTTGCTAAGTCATAACCGATATGTCATAACCGATATGAGATGTCGGTTAGTTGATGAGGATGTCGGTTATTAGTCTGTCTTCGCCCGATACGTGATTACTTTGAAATTCACGAGCATGTCATTCCTTTAAGAGAATATAATCTTCTAATTATTGAGTATTGAAAACCGATGAGTAGTAATAACTTGGTTTACCGAAAACCATATCAACAAGTGTGGTGAAGATCAAGAAACAATAGAGCATGTGTTGTTTCATTGTAAGTATGCTCAGATGGTGTGGAAGATGGCTCCCTTGATCTGGAATGGCCCCACAGGCAAAGAGACTTTTAAATCATGGTGGTGGAGTATATGTCAGCTAGACAAATCAGAGACTTCTGAAACCCATATTCAACTTTCGACTTACATTCTTTGGTGGTTATGGAAGTCTCGAAACTTTTGAATGTTTGAGACTACTAGAAGGCCTGCTCACTCCTTGGTGAAAATAGCTATCCAGCAATAGCAAGAGTTTCTATCATTGGGAGGGTGACAAACTGCTAGTTTCTTTAGGTTTTTTTTTTTGGTTTCTGGTTTGTTAGTTTGGTCTTCAGGCTCTGTTTATTCTCAGTTTTGTTTGTTTGGCTTCCTGGTTTTTGTTTCTTTTGTTCCTAGATGGAGGTGTAGGTTCGGTCGATTATGACTGCTACCACCTCTTTTTCTGGTTTATTGTTGTTGGTTGTTGGTTCTCTAGCCCACTTGTTGTGGTGCTCCCATTCCCCGGCTTGTGGGTTTATTATTCTCGATGTACTCTTTTTCGTTTGAATGAGCATATCTATCGTTTTGAAAAAAAAAAAGGCAGAACAGTCTATCCTACCATGCATACTTATTTGGAAATTTGATAGAAGATTTATTAATTTCGTTTGGAATTTTTTATTAACTAGATTTAATTCTAAAAAATATTGTATGATTAGTTGTTAATAGAATTTTGATATTATATTAAAATAATATATAAAATAAAATAATTAAAATTGATTTGATGTAAAAGTATGATAAAGATGATGTGAAATGATGATTAGTCAAATTATGTGAGCAGGTGAATAATGAACTAAAATTGTTGTGATCATGTGTAAAAACGATTTGATTGATATCATACTATCCTTTAAATTTATTATATAGATAATATGGACAATAGTGAAGTTTGATCAAAATTAAATTGAAAAAAATAATTAAGTTAAAAACGTTATCATTTTTTGTACCAAAAAAAAAAAAAAACGTTATCATTTTGCCTATATATTTCTTGTATCAATCAAGCAAACAGTAAATACCAGTGGCCCATGATATTTATAGGCACAATTATTAATGATGAAATGTGACTATGTGAGGAAGAAATAAACTCATTATTAAAGGTGGGACTTGGGAGAGGAAAAATAGAAACACGTGACTGTAGTGTGTTGGGGAAATACACTGGCAAAAACATTCCTGTTTTAGAATGTACGTCCACTCATTATATTATAGCCCACGTTCTCTGCTTCTAAAACCACAGTACTTAAGCAAGAGGCAATAATTGCTGACTCTAGCCAAGCAACAATGGCTGACCAATCTTTCCCCAACTACCTAAGTACCTAACCACGGTTAACGTGACCAAAAGCTAATTTGTTCAAATTGACAGAAATTTTTGGTTTTTTAAAATCAACGATTCTATGTTAAAATATTATGTTGGTAAGGATGTTGTATGTATTTAGAGGCTTCTTTTTTTCTATCTTCCCACTTCGACTATATAAATATAGGAAAATGGTTACAAGTAAATAATAAATAAATATACACAGAAACGTAAATAACACTCACATGAGTCGGGTCCACTTGATTTTTTAATGGGTCCCATTCAATGTGAGAATTCTTTAATAAAATACCATATATCTAAGAAAATTTAATTATATAAAATTAATTATCTAATTCAATAATTGACCCGGCGGGCCGACCTATGGATCGATTTTTGGGCGGGTTTAAAAAGTAAGAATTTCTTTAATTTCCATGTTTTAAACACACGTAAATGTGTTTAGTTTATGATATAAAAAAAATAAGGAAATAATAATCACACTGGCTCACCTAATTCCAAACATAATTAGAAGAAGCATTGAGGTCAAGTCAAAGTATCATGTTGGAACAATAAAGAGAATTAAATTCGCCCAACAGTGTATATATATGTGAATCACATGCGCACCATTTCCCTACAACTTCATCATCACACCTTACCCCACCTCTGCACCAGTACAGCATACATGATGAGCTTTTATTAGGAAATTTTGATGGGACCTTCAAACACCACACCACACATGCTGCACGCCCAAAAATGGCAAAACCCAGTCCTTATTTTGCAACAAGTAATTTCAGGCAACAACCAATATTTATTGGACACCATAATAGAAGTGCATAACATTGGATCCTCGCTATCGGTAGACGACATTTGATTTACAATTAATGGCCAACTTCGTCTCGGTCAAGCTCTCCGGCGACAAGCGGTCGAACAACTACCGGCCATGGAAATGGCGTTTCATACTTTAATACTTAAATTTCATACTTTATAGTGCAATAAAATTAAAAGTATGATATTTCATTGTATAACAAGGATTTTTTCATAGGAAAATATATTAGTCTAACAATTAGACAACCTACCAATTAAAGCATTTGTATTAATTTTGAGTCAATCATCAATGAATTTCGTGTGTGTAAAGAATATTGAGCATTTAATCAGAGAATATGATATGTTTGTTTGTTGTATATAGAAGGTTGGTTCACTATAGAGCCAACCGTTGGCTTCATAGCAAAATCGTA